TGTTTCAAGTACCCTACAAACCTCAGGGCGACCCTACAGGCAGGCCAGCTCAAGGAAAGACCGGAAATCATCACTGCTATGGAGAATGAGGAATCCAGGACTCTGCAATGACTATCTCAGTCTGGGCCTACTCTCAGCGTCAAGGAAAAACCTGGAAATCAGGATTTCTCCCAGCCCTGAAGAAGGGATGGGATGGACTCCTTTCTGCCAGGACATCTCTGTGGAAAATGAGGCCCGAAGGCTCGAGGCCATCCAGTTCGTCGTGGGACATCTTCTGGCCAGGCCTGGGTAGCTCTGACGTGCCAAATCAGATTAATGCCACTATTGGTGTGTCTCCTGTCTTTAGCCGATCCCCAGGACTTCTCAGTAAATAATGGGGTATCCCAAATGGAGAGTTCTCTAATCTTACTGTGTTTATGCAAAAGAACAAGCTAGATTTGTTAAGCTATCTTGCAAAGTTTTAAAATGAAGGTGGAGAGAAATGAATGCTGTCACTAGTTCGATCAGAGCTTTACTAGGGTGAAGCTCATCCCAAAGTGCAGAATTGATTTCCCCCAGTCTGTGAATTGGCCAAAGTGTCAAGAAAGGGCATCTAAACTGGTTAAGTTAGAATGGATTAATAGCTCGTTCTAAAATACTGTGAATTTTCTTTCTATACTTTTTGTATTGCATCTCATTTTCTGTGAACAGTCGTTTGGAGAGAACAAGGATGTTAACAGCTCTTAATTTTTGTTGCATCATGGGATTAACACCAGAGAGTATTTCCTCTAAGCCAGAATGTTCTGCAGAAGAAGAACAGTGGACATAGTGGACATTGGGGGTTTCCAAAAGAAAGCTGGTTGATGATTTACCAACAAGGAAAGTTGCTAACTCCTGGACCAATGCAGTGGAATATTATTAAAGGGACTCAATAGCAAGTAAGGTAGAAGTAACTCAGAACTGTGCTTTCTGTGCCATTAATGAACCTAGTGGAAATCTTGATCCTTCTCTCCTAACACCTGTTCAGCATCAAGGAACTTAGAGGAGGATCGCAGCTTGGCTTTATGCAAATGATCAAATGCTCATATGTTCAAGGTATAAATATCTGTTGGTTCTTATTGATAGCTTCAGTGTATGGGCAGAAGCTTTTCCAATCTGCACTGAGAAAGCCAGAGAATGGCTTGGTGTTTCTGTGTCCAGTAGAAAAATCTGGACACAGGAAGTCATTTTTCTATCAGCCAAACCTGTGGGTAGAGAACTCTGTCCTTACTGGGTCAGAAAGGAACTTCTACTCCTCCAGGGTCTAACCCTTTCAAAGTGATATCCCTCAGTCTAATCGAACTGATCTTTTCTTTCAGATAACTTCAGGAACCCAACCAATTCATTGCTGAGGGCCACTAAAAAGCTGAGGTAGCATGAGATTTCACCCCTTGTGTAGGCAGGGCCAGCGCCCCATTGTCAGCATGAAGCAGCTCCAGAAGATGGACCTTCTGCCATTCTCCCTTAAAGATTCAAGGTGGTGGAATCTCTGGGGGGGGTGGGCAATAGGATGTAGGCAGGTAGATAGGGAAGGCCCCCTCCCAAGGCAATGAAGAATGGGGATTTATGTGTGATGTTGGGAGAAAAATGCTGCTACTCTATACTGATCACACAGGGATGGTCTGAGACTTCACGGCCAAGCTCGGGGAGGGCCTTGAACAACGTCGGAGAGAAAGGGAGGCCTGGGAGAATTGGTTTGAGTCTTGAAAATCCTCCTAATTCTGGGTAACAATACTGGACCCTGCCCACTGAGGAAATTACTCCTCTGTATGAAGAGCCCACTGAGGAAGATTCCTCAATATGAAGTAGAGAAAGGGAGGAATGTTAGGTCCCTAGGGACCCTGAGGGAGATTCCAGAGTTAAAACTCTATAAATTAGTAACTCTCCCTTTCCTGCCCTCCTTATCTGTTACCTCCCTTAAGAACTCTTCCCTTATCCACCTCCGGAATGCAGGGCTGAGAATCAGAGGAAGCAAGGTGATAACCAAATGTCCAAGTTACCTGATGCCCACTAGTCACAATGCCTATGTACGTAAATGCTGATCTTTGAATCTATAGGCTAAGGAGTGATGTACTTCTACACGGATTGGTTAAGAAAGCATATGTTGTTACAAATCTATTGGCTATGAAATGCGCGGGCTTTGCTGTAACGGCCAGTGAAGGCCTATATAAGATCCCCTTTGAAGAAGTTCGGGGTCTTGCCTCACCTAACTGACCTGCGTGTCTGTGTAGGCGGCTTGACCCTGGCTAGCCAGTCTTACAATAAACCTTGCTTGCTGTTTGCAGTCTCTGGAGTCTCTTTGTCGTTAAAGGGAGATCACGATCTGCGCCCTAACAGTAGGGCGTTCGCCTTACACGCAGCCAACATGGCCGACCGGAGTTCGATTCCTCCGCCCCTCTCGGAGAGCCCGGCAAGCTACCGAGAGTATTGGATATGCCAGACACAGTAACAACAAAGTCTCCAATGGAGACGTTACTGGGCCCGCTCGAGCAAATCGACGATCAACGGGAGGGCCTTTACCTTTACCCCCTGGTTCCTCATTCCCGTCACCCTTCCTACCCACCTCCTGATACCAGGGACACACATGCCATTACAGCCCCTGGGCTGAGGGTCCCCCCCAAACCATCAGGAGCCCCCTCTCTCTTACACACACTCCTCCAGGCCCCAGAAACTCCCATTGGGAATAAGGCATCGGCCCCAGGTGCTCGCATACACACAAGCTGCCTCTGAAAGACACCAGAGACCTTCTCCTGGGGCGTCCTCCTAGGGCAGAACTGAACCCCTCGCTCCCCCTCTGCCCTCTTCGGCTCTGCCCTCTCCCAGACACACACTCCGGGGGCCGAAAAAGGCCGCTGTGCGGGATGAAGCATGGTCCCGGCATCGTCCCAGCAGAAGGGGAGGCTCAGAGAGGGGACAAATGTCCCACATCACACTGCTGGCAGGAGCCTTGATCTGTGGCAGCTAGGCCTGCCCCAACGAGGGCAGCCTCTCACTGCAGTGGGACCAAAGCACCAGGGGTGAAGATCCCACAGAGTGCAGGGTTCAGAGTGAGCTCCTGACCCTAGACACCACCCACTCCCCTTGAGCCCCCTGCCTAGGCCCCTCGCTGAGCACTCTGCCAGGAGGACCCAGCCTGAGCTGATCTGCAGTGTCGGGCGGGGCAGGGGAGGGCTGAGCACGGGCCAAGACTGCCACCTGCTGGACAAGAGGGCACTAGGCGCAAACGAGGTACGGTGGTAGAGAAGCAGGGAGCTTCCAACCCCTGAAGCTGTGCCTGCCCTCTGCTCTCCCCGACCTGGGGGGGGGGGGTGGGGGAGGGGCAGGGTCCAGCACATTTGTGTGCCTGGCCTTATCCCACTGAGCACAGGTTCAGGAGAGCACGGAGCCCCTGAGTTTGGTTCAGAGGGGCAGCCGCTAGGCTCGGGGCTCACGCAGTGACCGGCCCGTGCTTACCTCTGGCAGAGTCCTCACCCATGCTCTGCCCTGGAGCTCGGGGAGTCCCTGTTCACAGAGGAGGAAGCTCCTTGCTCAGAGAGAAAACCCACCTGCGCCCTGAGAGACTGATGGGAGGTGTGGAGTGGGGTTCTCCACTCTGCCCACCCCCTCAACTGGCAGCCCTTCCCCCTCCCCAGTAGATGGCTGGGGCAGGTTCCAAGGTCAGAATCAGACGTGCAGAGGTGGAGGGGTGGGGGCAGGGGTGATAAAGGCCAGCCCAGAACATGGGATTGTCAAGGGAATCCCGGGGTCCAGACAAGGCAGGGATGCCATTGGGCGCAGCCTGGGCCCCTCTGCCCCCGCAGTCAGATGGGGACAGAGGCCAAGGCCGGAAAGCTGGAGGCTTGGGGTGAGGAGTGGCCGGGCATGGGCCTGCCCAGCGCAGTCTGTGTCCCCGCAGCAAGCCACCTGCTGCCTGGTGTCCACCTCGGTGGACAGAAAATGGGGTCTCTAGGATAAGATTGAGCCTGAGAAGCCACTCCCTGTGTCAGGACTTCTTAAACTGTTTTCTACTCATTAGGGGCAGGAGTGATAGTACAGTGGGTAGCACGCTTGCCTTACATGCGCCAGCCGGGGTTTGATCCCTGACACCCCTCATGATCCCCCAAGCACTGCCTGGAGTAATTCCTAAGTGCAGACCCAGGAGCAAGTCCTGAGCACCGCCAGTGTGTCCCCCAAACAAACAAAACCAAAACCAAAACTTTTCCCACTCGGGACATCTTTTCACTTTTCGAGAAAAGTAACAACAGTGAGCATGGCCAGAAAATCAGGACACGGGTTGGTTTTGAACAGATGTTTTGCCATTGTGTGTTCAGAAACCTGCCACATTTTTACAAGCCCTGTATTCAGTTATGTGACCCCATAATGTCACACACACACACACACACACACACACACACACACACACACCAGTGTAAGAAGAGACCGATGTGACTCTGGGCAAGGCCTTACAGCTCCTTGAACCTCAGTTTCTTTATCTGCAGAAGGGATTGTAGCCTGCTCTCAGGAAATGCCCACCCCAGGGCCAGACACGGACGGGCTGAACTGGACGGGAGGGAGGGAAAGTCTGCCCAGATGGCTGTTTCTCTCTCTCTCTCTCTCTCTCTCTCTCTCTCTCTCTCTCTCTCCATTTAGACACACATACTACATACACACACTCTTGCACACATACACACTCATACACATTCACTCATATGTATACACATTGACACATTTATGTGCTCACACTCACTATACATACACTCACATTTGCATGCTCACACATTTACACACATACACATTCACACGTGCATTCACACACTCACACGCACTCACAGCCTCACCAGATTGGGGAAGGTGGACTTTTCCTCATCCCGGACTCTCATGACCCGGGGGCGGGGGCCCACACAGTGTCATTGTGGTCATTCTGGCCCAGCGCCCTAGAGAAAGGGCTGACTCAGGAGGATCTGGGGAAAGGGGATGTGGGACCGTGGGGGAGTTTGAGAGGG